CCCCCCCCGCAATCCTACTTTCAGACCGTTCCTCAACAGCTAGGAAGCCAGCTGGGCAGGCCAGTGGCCCTCCGCCCTTTAGCATGTGGGCAAGCAGGCTCCGTTAGTTCAGGATGGCTGGCCTCCAGTGTAGAGGTGACTCCCTTCACCCCACCAACCCCAGTCTTGTCGGTATATAGATGTTGGCAGGTGACCCCACCCTCCCACAGCGGGCACTGCAAGTCACCTCTGGTCTCTATTCCATTTTCCTCTCAGCTCCTCTCTCTTCGGTCACATCCAGCTCAGTCAGGACACAGAAGCAAAGCTTTTGGGTGACTCTGGTGATGGCCGCTGAAGGGACACAGGTGACAAGGAGGCTCAGGCCAAAGCCCCAGGAGCACCACAAGGCTGACCCAAAACACAACTCTGGTTCCCCAGGGGGCCCTGGGCAGGCTTTTCTCCCACCCTCAATAGCATGTCCACATGAGCAGGGTGCCTCATCTTCCCAGATGGGTGGCACTGGGAGGAGGCAGTGCTCGAACCCCTAAGACTCCAGTGAGAACCAAAGGGACCGTGTCAAAATCAACAGGCGGGTAGGGTCGGTGGGGGGGTCGCTCTCATGAACACGGTGGGGGAGCACCTGCTGGTCCCACCCACCCCTGTCCTGACTGGTGGCACCAACGGGCATGGCCTGTAAGGAATTGGCAAGGGGGGGCGGTGGGGAGGGGGCCCAGAAAGCAGCTCACCCACAGCACTGCGGATACAGAGGGGCCTCTGGGCCTCTGGCAGGTAAACCCCCAGGCAGTAGACAGGGACACCAGAAAGGGCGATCCCGATGCCAATGAGGGAGTTGATGGTGTCGCTGTAGAGCGGGACGACCACCAGGAAAACGGAGCACAAGCAGAAGGTGACGGGGAAACACAGGCTCAGCTGGAATGAAGGGTGCAAGAGATGAGGGGCCCCAGAGGGTGCAGGCCTGGGCAGCAGGCACCCTGGAAAAGGTCCGGTGCTGCCGACTGTACCTTGAGAGGCCGAGGGCGCTCGGGCTCCTTCCAGCGAAGGTAGAGCTGGCCAGCGACGGACAGGCCCACGAAGAACCAGTAGCTGAAGCTGAAGTACTTGATGAGCACGAATAAGTCTCCCACCGTGAGGTAGATGAGGGACATGGTGCACTGCAGGGGCAGGGGCAGGGGCAGGGGCATCAGCTCCAGTAGTGGGGGTGGGGCTCCCTGGCCCTTTGCCATCCAAAAAGTCCGCTCTCCCAGCTTCAAGGGGGTCTTTATTCCTCCCTCTCCAACCGGGACCCTGTCTCCCATCAGAACCACCCTTCTCTCTGCCAGCACTGCAGCATCCAGCGGGAGGGCCCCTGTGCTGAGGACAGACAGCAGGCCCTTCCCTGCGCCAGCTCCCAACAATCCCGCCCTGCCCGAAGGGCTGAAAACCTGACCACATGGCCCTATCCCCTTGGTTTCTTAAGCTGGAGGACAGACTGGGGTCACTCCTGTCTCCTGCGGGGACAGGTATG